CAGAATATGAATTCTCAAAATATATTTTATTTAGTGTTTATCGCTAGTCCCCTCAGACGCTGCATTACTGTTACCTCTCCAAAGCCTATGGCATGGTGCACTTGTGCCTGACATCACTTAGCATATTATGCTGACATGACTGAAGAATAACTACTAAATCGCACAATATTTTTTACAATGAAGAGAAGCAGATAGCTATAGATGTGTAAATGTCTACTGATATAATGAAGAGTGCTTCAGCCATATCATTTAGGGGTGGGACATGGTCATTATGAACGCTAAGAAAATCCTAGGATACTGGAAGGGAAAGAACAAAGGACTTTAAATTTCTAAATCAGCACCAAAACAATATCCCCATGTAGGTTATTAAAGGATTGTGTACATTTTTCTGGACAGTATATTTTTTGGATGAAAGAGCTCTGATGATCTATGTTTATTAAAGATTCCACAACATTTTTTTATGATCAAGACACTGAGACCCTGTATCTTGATCAGATTCCAGACTGGGTTATTATAAATGCCATTAAAAATATTCTGCAGCTTTAACTGGCTCCAAAAGTGTCTCCAATTCCTAGCTCACACTTTTCTACTGACTATGCACGTTAACAGCTGCCATATCCCAGATAAGACTTGGAAGCTTTTAGCAGAAGGTGAAGTGATTCAATCATATATTTTTGGAAATGTTTTGGGATCCTTTGGAATGCAAGATGTGTTTCAGTTATTCCTTTGTGAAGATGAAATAATGCAAATAAAGCCATTTGAGTTATTCCAAATATATGCAATTGGATAGGAAGGCAAATTATCTATAATATAAATGCAAATTCTCAAGATAATTGGCTGTTATTGCTTCTATTAATTACATTACCATCCTTTAATTTTCTAATTAGAATTGTTTCCTTGCATTATGGTATCCTAGCACAGGAGGAAATTGATCTCTTTTTTTCACTTTTAGTAGAAAATAAATCTCCCCATAAAATTAGATACATTAAATGAAAAGTAGCAACTCTGCAGTTTTTAAAGAGACTTTTGTGTGTAGATGAAAGGATATATAAAAACAACCTTGTGGCAGAGATCTGTCAAGTCAGCAATGAAACTTACTACATTAATCAGCTGACATTTGCCCCCTAAAGTTTGTTTATGAAGATTTGGAGTTGCTTTTCATTATGAAACCAACCAAACTTTTCACAAAAACTCACTCTAAGATAAGCTATTCTTTGTGTCATTAAAACCCAGGGAAATGAGAAAAAGGATTAATGATAGTAATGTATATATATTTTAAAATTCTGCATTCACATGCGCGTTGCAAAACTATGAGACTCTCATGGCATGTAGTCTACCGTGGTCAAGGTGAGTTTTTATTTCCTATTTCCTGATAAGAACTAATAGGAAATGTTATACCTATGAAGTGATGCCTGTGATCTTTAGAAACTTTGCAAAAAGTCAAAGTTTCATTATTTGGGTATATACTATAATATACATTTCCACAGTGAAACCTGTATATTTTCTGTTGGATTAATTTTCTGATGGAAAATGCAAGAACTAGAATAGGCCTCAATATCTTGCAAAGCCCATGTCTGTTTCTCTTTTCAGGTGCATGAGAAAACTGTCAAGTCTATGATTTTGGGCAGCAAGGACTGAGGGTAAAATTTTCCATAAGGAAAGTGGAAGTCCTTCACTGAAACCAGTTCTCAACTGGTACACAAATAAAAAGACAGCATATTCATGATTATTGCTGAAAGTTTCACAACACAAGAAACATAGTAACTGACTAATCCTCTTAAGGTACATTGGACATTATAATTCTACATCTAGAGAAGGAGAAACCAACCCCAAGAAAGAAATTGGCTCATCAAAGCCAACATGGCAAGTCAGCACCTGGTTTGAAGCCCTGCCAAGACAGGGTCTGAAACCATAATTTCCCAAGTCCAAGGCCAGTTCTCAAACCCACAAGAACCTAGTAGTCATTTCTTTTTTCCATTCTTTTGTGTTTGATTTCTTTTTTTGAGCTGTCCCCTGAATTACTCAATCAAGCCCAATATGGCAAGTTCTTATCATCTCCTTCATTCAGATCCCTTCTGGAGAACCATTCCTCCTTCACAGCCCACAGTACAACCAATTAGCAGATTGAGGGGAAATTACCAATTACCAGATTGAGCACTCTGGTAAGATTTTTTTTCCTTTGGGAAATATACCGTAAATTGTTTAGTGTACCTTCTACACTGGAAGATGTGTTGGTCAGAAAGGCTATTCCAATATTTAGTACAATGGTTCTCAACCATTTTTAGACTTCAGGCATGCTTTGATGGACTCCAGGTATCCCTCAGAAAATACCAACTCTTAAATTTTACTCTTCATAGAATCATAGAATCAATGGACCAAAAGGAGGGACCTGCCATATCATCAAGTCTGGTCACCTGCTATGAGCACAAGGTTATTGACCTCAAACGAGCTCAACAAGGTGCTTATCCAGCCTCCTCTTGAATACCTCCAAGGATGGAGACTGCACCACCTCTGCTGGAAGTGTGTTCCAGATTCTAGTTACCCTTATGGAAAAGAAGTTTCTCCTTATGTCCAGTCTAAATTTTCCTGGTCAATTGATTGTTAATGCCTATATATATAGGCATTAACAACCGATAATCAATCATACCACAGTCAACAAATCACACAGCACTCACAAATAAAATAACTTGTCACTGACAGCCTAAGAACACAACAGTAACACAAACACACCACATATATATTGATAGGTATTAATAATCAATAATCAATCAGACCACTCAACAAGTCGCACAGCACTCATGAATGGAAGAACTTGCCACCGACAGCCCGCCACACATTTGGATTCAGAACAAGACCAGATCAAAGAAGAACACAATACACACAAACCTTTTCCAGCACAGGAAACATTGATATGAAGCATGTTGGAAAGGCAGGTGCCAGGTCTTCTGGCAGGGGAGGGAAATGGGCTAGAGGGGGTAAGGGGAGAACTAGAGCTGCAAGTTCCCCCTGCCAACATAGATGCATCCTCTTCCCAAGCAACCACGAGGCTTCTGCTGCCAGTGGGAGCAAGAAGGTGGGAGCAGTACCCTGCACCAGGCTCCCCCTGCACCTATCTCTTTGACAGCTGGCAGGCTTCATGCCTGCAGCAGGTCCTGTCAGACCAGCAGTTTTCACCCTGCTCTTCCTTAACACACACAGTATCACCTATGTCATGAGTTCTGCCTGTCAACAGTTTGAAGTGAAGCTTCCCAGAAACCCCTGCCCCTATCTCCTTGAAACTTGACAGGATTTGTGTCCTTAGCAAGAGTTACCATCCCTGCAGTTTTCACCCTGCTGTGGCATAACACACACGTGATATGAGTTTGGGTTTTACAACATTGAGGTACAGTTTCCAAGAAACCCCTGCACCTATCATCTTGAAACTTTGCAGCCTTCATGCTTCAAGCAGAGGCTACTATCTGTGTAAGTTTCATCTGAATCAGCCAGGAAACAACAAAGTTATAGATATTTCATTGACTCCCCATTATACTCTATGGCCAAATCTCCAAATCTTTCCGAATCTGCTCCAAATCTTTTGAAGTCGAATCGGCCAAATCAAATTGGAAAAGTGATTTGAATCTCTGAATCAAATTGCTGGCATTCAAATTGGCTGAATATGAATTGAATAGTTCCCTATTTGCACAGGCCTATTACCCTATCCTCTGATGTGCCCGGATTTCATCCACAAACTTAACCATTGATCTTTCTACCCCACCCCCTCCAATCCAAGTCATTAAAAAATATGTTAAAGAACAGAAGTCCAAGCACCAATCTTGGGGACACCACTGGAGATGGTCCTCTAGGATGAGGACGTCCCATTGATTATAACTCTCTGGGATTGGCCTCTAAGCCAATTGTCCACCCACCTTACTGTAGACTGGTCTAGGCCAGTACCCTCCAATTTAATTGAGAGAATCTTATGGGAAATGGAATCAAAAGCTTTACTGAAGTCTAAGTATCAACCTTGTGTCCCTGGTTCAGCTGATTGGCTACCTGGTCATAAAAGGACACCAGGTTAGTCAGGCATGATCTACCTTCAACAATGCCATTATGGTTGCTTCTTAGTACTCCACCAGTTATGAGCTTGTAACTGATGGCCTCCTTAACAATTTTTTCAAAGATGTTTCCCAGGACGGAAGTCAGACTGACCAGTCTATAGTTTGCAGGGTCATCTCTCTTGCCTTTCTTGAAGATAGGCACCATGTTCACCCTCTTCTACTCATCCGGGACCACTCCCGAATTCCAGAACCCTTCAAACAGCTTTGCCAGAGGCCCTGCTACAAGCCTAGCCAGTTCTTTCAGGGCTTTCAGATGCAGGTTATCTGGCCCAGCACACTTGAAAATGTCCAAATGTTCTAAGAGTACCCTCACCTACTCAGGACTGATTTCATGCGGTCTGTTCTCTTCCCCATATTCCCTGGGCCTTTGGTCACGTGAACAGCTCCCATCTGATTTCAGGAATATAGACGTGAAGTATATATTTTGGAGCTGTGTCTTTTCATGGGGATCAACTGTGGGCTGCCCCTCTGTATTCAGTAGGGTCCCACAGAGGAGATCAGTTTTTTTCTTGATCCCTAAATACCTATAGAAAGACTTTTTGTTGTCCTTAATTTCAGTCACCAGTTTGATCTCCATGCCTGCCTTGGCTTTCCGTGCCTCATACCTGCAGACACTTACTTTATACATAACACTTCCTACATAGAGCTATGCTGGATCCATATGCAGACATAGTCCACATAACAGAAGATGGAGAATTTTGTTCAATAGCTATAAAAATAGATGTTCTCATGTTCTCCAACTTTTTTAAAGTAATTTTAGTGACATCAGGGGAAAACTGCTTAGCATTATCTTTAAACTTCTTTCTAATCTTTCAATAAATTTTAAATCCTTCTTAGTTCCACTTTGATGGTCTTACAGGACAAACTGAAAGCTCTTTAAATGAAAAAGGGAATACATTTTACCTTAGTGTTTGTTGCTTGAAATGGAACTTCTGAGCCGTTTGTAACTGGGGATGTCAGCCTCTCAGTTGGTTTTGGATGGATTATATTCATAGCTGGAGGTTGATTGTGAAGAACAGAAGACAAGCAGAGTTGGACAGTCTCCTTCAAAGCTTTCAGCTGAGACTCCTGAGGAAAGTGAGATGTCATCAAATCTTCAGACTGGTTATAGCAAAGAGTATTGCTTATTTTCAAAGAGTATTGCTCTGAATCAAACACATTCTTTCTAGATTTGCTGGACAGAATCTAGTGTACATGTATATAATTATTCTGCAAATACACACAGACAAGATTCTTGGTAAGATGCATTATAAGCAAATTGTTTAATATAATAGAAAAATAATTTGTTTTAACATTTACATGCTATGCCATTACATAATAAACTGTCAGTGTTTTCATTGGATTTGGGAGACAGCAAGGTTACCATTGTCCAAATCAGAGGAGATCTGTATTTTCCTTTAAGTTCAACACACACTGGTACCAAGTATGCTTCATGAAATAAGCTTCTGTTTTCACAATGCCAGTAAAACAAGCCCTTTAAAAATCATATTATTAACATATTTTGCCTGATAAAGAGATATGTGGGTTACTCTCTTAGAGACTGTGAAAGTGGTAAGCTGTCTGTGAACAAGCATTTGTCACACCCAGTCTAAGTTCAGGCAGGTTATTTTAAACTGCTTAAACAGAGACTGGTAGAGGCACATGCAGCCTTTTGCTGATGCTAGAAGTGGCACATGCAGTCATTTGCCACTGCTGGCAGCAGTGCAGGCAACCTGAGTTAAGCAACTTGGGGTGAGGAGGATAGGCCCGGAGGGGGGGGGGGGGGGGGGGCTGGCAGGTCTTTGGGGGCCTGGAGGGGAAGGAATCTGGGGATTAAAAATAGTCCAGTTAGGATCAAGGTTGGAGGTAAAACAGAACAGCCCCAGGGCTGAAACGAGCAGGTGAGATTCCCCAGCTCTGGGGATGTATATGTAAGCATTGGATAGATCAGGTTAACCCCTTCCTAGATCAGTTATCCCTATCTTAATCTAAGTGCACCTCCTGAGATGAACTAATTTAGTTTGGGCATGCCATTTTTCAGTCAAATTAAACCCTTAGAATGCCTACATGAGTGGGCATTTAGATAAGCCTAACCCTGGTTAGATCAATTGAAATTCAATGCCTGTACATACCCATAGTAAACAAGGACAGGAAAGATGGTCTAATGGTTACATGGCCAACCTAGAACTTGGGAAACATTTAAATTTCCCATTACATCATAGGCCTCCTGGATGAGCTTAGGAACATCTCTCATTCTATGTTGTTATTTAATGTTCATCTTGAGGTCATTCTCAGTCAGACTAAGACACATAACTTATCTTTCCCTTCTATATTGAACCCTGTAAACCGCATCAAAGCCACCAGCTTTTCATTCTGATATTTCTCAAGCATACAATAAAGATGCTAAATCATGCCATGCAAAATAGAAGTCTTCTAGGAATCAGTCTGTTGACTACTTGTCTCTCTAGGCTTGAATCTTCTTCGGGCAGCAGAGAGGGGGTCAGTATAAGGAATGTCCATTAAACAGGAACAGGGAATTCTGGTACTTCTGCAAAGAAGTAGACCTGTGTTATAGCCATGCAGTTTATGACACCACTGGCAGATGTTAAGGCAGTTGCACAATTGGGGTCTCAGGAATTTTAGGTCCCATTTCCTAAATTGCTTAACCTGAAGTGCCAGACGTCTACAGCAGGTCACACAATTTGGAGAATGGGGCATAAACTTGGAGTATGAGGAATGTTATGCCCCATTCACAGAATTGTGTGACCTGCTGTGGAAAGCTGGCATGGCAGGTTAAGCAATCTGGGGAATGGGACACAAAATTTCTCCAACTCCAATCAAATGACAGCCAGCATGGAAGGTTAGGGGGCACCTGTACCTGGGGAATGAGAAGCTTCCTACTCTCTAGCTGCACCCCCAATCCCCCACAGAAGTTGCAGCTGGGGAACTGGGAGCTCCCCATTCTCCAGGGGGGGTTTCCATGGATGCCCAGGAGCATTAAAAAAGTGGGAGTGCCACAGGGGTTCTCAACTGCATGCTTGCTTTTAAAAGGTCTAAGGCAGCATGAACCTACCACTGGGGAGCGTTTCCCATATGTCAGGCTTACAGAGCACCATTTCTTTAAAAAAGCAGATATGTAGCTGAGAGTCCCAGCTTCACTCATCTGTTTTTTTTGGGTTCCCTGGAAACTGTAAACCTGAAATCAGGGAAAGACTCCCCAATACTGGGCTCTTGGTACCCCACACAGTGGAGCTGGGGATGGGGGAGCGCACCCACCTCCAGCTGCTGATGCTGTTTTAAAGAGGTACTCGAAACAAGCATGGGGGAATAGGGGAGCTCCTCCATTTCTAGCTGTTCATACTGATCATATTTTTTTAAAAGAGAGTATGTAGTTGGGAATGAGGGAGATTCTTAGATCCTTCTTTAAACTGGTGTGTGCAACCAGGGACAGAAGTAAGTTCCCACATCCCCAGCTGTACTTGCATATTTAAAGAGCTACCCAGCATGTACAGCTGCTTGTGTTGGGTGCCTCTTTTGACTGGCATGTGCAAGTGGGAATAGGAGAAGATCTCTCAACCAGCTGCACACCCATATTTAAAGAGGTGCTAAACTTTCTACACCCAGGACCACAGACTGCAGGGCAAGGATTTTTAAGGTGCCTGCCTGGTCCTAGCAAGCTCATATCTCCCAGCCAGGTTCCAGACCAGAGGCTTCCCAGCTGCAGTGAGCACTAGGATGATGAGGCATGCCACACATGAAATTTATGGTACCATACAAACCAGCCACAAAGGTGTTACACACATTCTGAGGAATATTTTCACGGCTCATTTAGCATTTTATGGTACCATAATTCAATATACATATGGCATGTCGCTTCCATTAATCATTCCAAAAATGTAGCACATGCCAGGGACCCAAGAAACTTACAAACACACTGCAGCAGGGTCAGCATCAGACCTTGAAGTTCAACAGAATTTCTCAGCTCACAATAGACTGCTTCCAGGATCAGTTGTAAGAATATATAGAGTAGATCAGTAGCCCGCAACCCATGACTCATAGAAAACATTGTCTATGAGACCCTCTAACATTACTTGGACCACAGCAATTTAAAACTTAAAACTGAGGTTGACAGGGAAAGTGAAGTATGATATTGTATGAATCATATTACTTGCTCAGTACTTGACACACATAGGCCAAGGACAGTTGGGAGACCATTGGTGTAGAAGGTTGACAGGTACAAGAGTAAGAAGAACCTTAAGGAGGACCCTAACTATCAATGTAGGCATTATGTTACAGATGTAACTATACAATAATATAGTTACAGTAGTTCAGTAGAGAATCTGTTCTATGAACTATCTGAGATCAAAATGCATTTATAAAATCAAAATTGTTTGGGCAATGAAGCACATTAAATAAACCTTTAAATGCAAATTATATACAAAGTGCTCTCACTTTTACCACACATTAGGCAGCCTATCCTGAAGTCAGATAACAGAATGATTTGAATAACTGTTGTTTAGACAATTGAGACTACTGTAATTATTTCAGTAATGCTTAGCCAAAAAATTAGTAGCAAGTCCTCTGAATTTTTTCCATATCTTTTTAAAGCTTGATAAGTAGGATGTGTTGTCCATTAACAAAAAAGAGAGAGAGATTGCACTAAACTCCATTCATCTTGCCACTATCTAATTGGAACCTGGGGATAAATAACCTAATTGGACCTGTTTGGTACCTTTTAGTTTTATTCAAGTATATGATAACTCTTAAAGGCTGTATGAAGTATTTTGGCAAAACATTTTGTATAGGCCACTGAGAAAAGTCTACTGTTAGTGCACACAAATGTATGCCAGAGTTGTCAAATAAAACTGTTTGAACCTAAGACAGAAGGATGAAATGTTTATCAATGTTGTGTTAAGAATATGTGACTTTGCTATCAACGCACTTGGAGAACCTGTTGTTCAATGCAATCCAGTTCGCATGTACTTTCTCATTTCTCTGTCATCTTTCCTATTCTTTAAAGCAGATGCTGTGCATGGCTCCATCGTGAAATCAATACACCAAGAGTACACCTTTCACTTCATCCCAAACAGGAAAACTCATTTACCATGTAGGGAGAACAATGGTTAACCAAGCTTGGGTGCTTTTAGTCTTCCAGTTCTATCTCACAATTCTGCTTGAGCTATACTTTCTTGTTTCCCTTTTTCTTCATGGATTTTTAACAATCCATTTCTGCTGACGTTTCACAGTAGTTGGACAAGGAAGCCATCCCTGAAGTCTTCTTTCCCTGCTGCTAGTTTGCCAGAAACTGATACCAGCCTTCTGGTAAAACAGTGGCATGATAGCACTCTGAATTACATGTTTAAATTAGTGGATAGGAAAGGAACAGAATGGTAGAGAGTCAGTTGGGTTTGCTGCAAATCATTTTGTGGTTAGCAGACAGAATTGTTTAATGACATTCTCATTAAAGGTTCTTGCTGCCAAATGCTCTCTGCTTTTCCCAGTACTGTCTGCATTATAATGAGTAACTCCGCTTGAGAACAATACTTTCTGTAAATACGTCATGCCAGTGACATCGCAATAGTTCCATTCTAGGTAAGAGAGAGAAGGAGCATTGTATGAATTAATTCTTAGAACAGCTTGGTTTAAGAATCATATACTACTTCATCTGAAATCCATCCTGATACTTGGGCTGGTACACCACTATCGTGAATGAAATTAAATAGGTCTGGCACAAGTATGACTTTGCAGTGGGGAGTTATCTAGGCCTGGGCTAACTCTATAATGTATAATGTATATACTGAGGACCACTGTATGGGTTTGTGTGTATGTATCTTCTTTCTCTCTCAGAGTCGCAAACCCCCTCCCTCCCCTTCCTCCACCCACCCCTCCCCTGGGCTTAGTTGGCTAACATTGTATTTTCTGTAACCTAGTTGCATTCCTCTCCTCACCCCCATCCCTACAATATTAGTTCCTTGCTCGGGTGATTTGTATTTCCCTACTGGCTTTGCCATCTTTTTGGATTCATAATCCTAAACATCTACTAATAAAATCCATTCCTTTGGCAGAAGGCAGGGTAGCAGTGCACAGTATAGAACAACTAAATCAGAGATGCATAAGCTTTCATGAGTCACCGCTCAGTTCATTAGACGTGGCTCACAAGAGCTTATGCATCTCTGATTCAGCTAGTCTAAAACATGCACTTCTACCCTGCCTTCTGCCCAACTTAAGACAGACTAATATAGCTAATTACCTCTCCATATAATATAGGGGTGTGTTTATACTGGAACCATAGAAGCTCAGACATACTTAAAATAATTTATTAAATGAAAAATAGCCTTCTAATTCATTATAAAGAAAACAATTTCTAAGTTTAATGCATTTGAGTTGCTGGGAAAAATCCCAGCAACTCAAAGGCGTACAATGGAAATATCATTTATATATATATAAAATGGTTAGGGCTGTTGAAAGCTTTGGTTCTCGATTTGATTTGGTGGAGATTTGAGCCCGATTTGGCGACTGAATCTCCAAATCCGAATCAAATCAGGAGACCCTTTAATCCCTCCAAATTGAATTAGAATGCTCTGAATTCAGCTATTTGGACATAGACATAGCTTTAAATGTTTTTTTTACATACCTCAAGACACCAGGTGGCTTGTGAATGCTACAATTCTGGGGCAGATGGAACGTGCCACAGGAGTGCAGGGGGTACCCAGCACACACAGCAGCAGGCCCAGAAGTGGACCAGAAGCACTTCCAGTCCACTTCCAGGTCCACTGCGGAGCATGAGGGGGGGCCCCCTGCATCCTCTCCAGCTTGGTGATTAGTGCCTCCTGGGTCTGGAGGGCACCCAGGGTCCCCCTGCAGCTGATGAGCAAGCTGGGAGGGTATGGGGGGGCCCCCAAGAGCACTCCCCGGTAGACTTGGAAGTGGTCTGGAAGTACTTCCGACCCACTTCTAGGTTCACTACCGAGCATGTGGGGCAGCCCCTTGCGGTCCTGTGGACGCTCCATCCGCCCCAGTGTTCACGAGCCGCGCCTGGTACCTTGAGGTATGTAAAAAAAAAAAACATTTAAAGCTGTTTCTATGGCTGAATCACTGATTCGCTTAATCAGCACCAAATCTTCAGATCTGGATTTCACTGAATCAGATCGGGGACGGTTATCCGAATCAATCAACAAATCGAATCACTGTCCCTGATGCAGGCTGAATCCAAATTGAATACAGCCCATTTTGCAAGCCCCGATACACACACACATATACACATATATATATAAATATATGCACACACACATATATATACACACACACATATACATACACACGCACACTTATTATATATAAGTATACAATACATATATATACACATATATGTATACACACACATACACATATATATCTTCCTCCTTCCAGTGTTCTTCTCTGAAGCTTTTAGAGAGCATACAGAGCAAGCTTTTAGAGAGCATACGAAGTGGCAATCATATTGTTAAGTATCCAGAATTGGTCGAACCCCGAAATACTTCTTTGTTAGAGCTTCAACAAAAAATTAAAAATTATTTATTCAAATAAAAAAATACAAATAAAATGGCACAATTCTAAAATTATGTTTTGAAGAAAATGAAACATTTTGACATTTTTGAAACTTTTTATTTTGTCATGGTTAAATATAGTGACATATTTGTCCAAATGTTTTGACCATATTAAAGTGATGTTATATTATGTCAAGCATGTGTAAAAGTTGAAATGAGTTGACATGTATATTTTATTGTATACTTTAAAAAAATCTTATTTTAGATTCATTTTATTGAAAATGGATATTTTGTTTGCTAATTTAATACTCTAACTCAGGGGTCAGCTCCCTATGGTCCATGGGTCAGATGAAGCCCAAAAACCCATTGGTTCCTGCCTCTAGACATAGAAATTTTGAAGTTAAGGAAGTACAGGTTGAATGAATGGACTGTAAGGTGTATATAAAACTGTCTGGATCAACAGGCTTAGAGGGTACTAGTCAATGGCTCAATATCTAGTTGGCAGCTGGTATTGCATAGAGTGCCCCAGGGGTCACTCCTGGAGCTGGTTTTCATTCAAAATCATCATTAATGACCTGGAAGATAACACAGAAGGCACCCCCAGCAAGTTTGCAGATGATACCAAGGTGAGGGGAGTAGTAGATACACTGGAGAGTAAGGTTAGGATTCAGAGAGACCTAGACAAATTGGAAGACTGGACCAAAAGAAATCTCATGCGGTTCAATAAGAACAAGGGTATTAGCACGGAACAATTCCATGCACCGGTACAGGTTGGGATCTGACTGGCTAGGTAACAGCCCTGCAGAAAAAGGCCTGTGGGACAATAAGCTGAATATGAGCCCACAGTGTGGTCTTGTTGCCAAAAGGCTAAAAGAATACTGGGCTACAATAGTAGGAGTGTTGACAGCAGATCAAGGGAAGTGATTATTTTCCTCTGTTATGCACTGGTGAGGCCACATCTGTGTCGAGTGTTGGCCCCCCCGCTACAGAAAGGATGTTGACAAATTGGAGAGAGTCCAGAACAGGGCAATGTAAATGGTTAGGAGGGCTAGAAAATATGACTTAGGAGGAGAGGTTAAGGGATTTGGGCTTATTTAGTCTGGAGAAGAGAAGACTGAGCTTCCAACTACCTGAAAGATGGTTCCAAAGAGGATGGAGCTAGATTATTCTCAGTGGTGGCAGATGACAGAACAAGGAGCAATGGTCTCAAATTGCAGCAAGGGGAGTTTAGGTTAGATATTAAGAACAAACTCTCTCACTAGGAGGGTAGTAAAACAATGGAACTGGTTACCCAGACAGGTTGTGGAACTCATCCTCGTGGTTTTTAGGACCCAGCTAGACAAGGCCTTGGTTGGAATGATCTAATTGGGGATGGTCCTGCTTTGAGCAGGGGGTTGCACTAGATGACCTCCTGAGGTCCCTCCTAACCCTCATTTTCTATGATTCTATGATATTTGGAGGCCTTCAGTTGTTGGAGTAATGAGCAGTGGAAAGCATTTCTCCTGTGCCACAGTGGAGAGAAATGGTGGTGGCACTGGTAGCAGCTGGATCTTAGTACCCTCCCACCTGTGACTTGAATTGGGTCACTCCAGCTTGAAAAGCTTACAACCTGAAAAGGTTGTCAGATACTGCTCTACTGAGAATGTATAATTGTTATTCTAACCTGTACCGAGTTGATAATTGGAACATAGTTTGCTCAAGTGTTCTTTTCCCCCCCCAGCTGTATTCTAATGTGCATGGAATATTTTGAGTTCATCAGAACAATATTTTCTAACACTTGTCTATGAAGATGAAAAGGGTGTTGGAGAATATTTCATTGAATGTTCGACCATCCATTCAATTCACTTTCTTGTCCACCCTATACAAAGGCCAATGAAAATCACAGCCCCACATTTGTGGGAGATCAAGGACTGCCCCTCCTCCATGCACTCCTAAAGGAAATGGGAGGCAGACAAACCTAATGAAACCTCTGCCCTCAAACCTAACGTACCTTCTTCCCCCAACAACTTGTACATTAAACAAATCTAATATACACCCTACTGCCAACTACTGGCCTTTTGAGCCAATTGTGGTTACTAGAGGGAATGTGCTGCACAATGTCAAGGATGGCATAATTTCTGTTCTCTGAGGAGCCAAGGGAGGGATGATAGCTTAGTTATACCCATGAATTTGTATATCTCCACCCTGTATTGTATGCAGAATCAAAACTAAGAGTTAAAATGTAGCACAAGTCTGATCAGAGAGAGGCATCTTTCTCTTTGGTTGTACTTTGTTGCATGATAAATTTGGAATTGTCTCTTTAAGACATTTAATCTTCCTGCACCAAGCCCTGAAAAACATGATACTTGTGTTTAACTTTAAGCATGGAAGTATTTGCAATGCATGAAGTCACTGCAGTGCCTTAACATGGTTTTCTTTGTCAGATCCCATAGAAATGTCCATAGCTAGTCCAGATAAAGAAGCTGAGAGTATACACACAGGTTCTTACTTTGTCAAGGGCTGCCTTTTCTAGTTCATCTTTTGCAACTGCAAGTTTTTGCTCCAGATCTGTTAGCTGTTGTGCCTGTGGGGATAAAACGAAAAACACAGTTGCTGATGTAATTTACAATATAATCATTTCCCCGGTAATTTTGCATTCTGTGCCTTAAGACAGGAAGGGATTTAAACTCTACAGAGCAATGTATATGATTAAGGCCATAATTGCCTGCCAGATGACCAAGCCTCAAGGGATTTTTTTTTTAAACTGAGAAAACATGCTCTTCATGTACAAATTGGGTCCAAACTTGCCTCCTTTATGCCAATGGATGTTAAATGCCAGTGGCAGTAGGAAAAAGCCACTTTGTATAAAGTATTTAGAAATCCCATCATAGTGGGGGGGTTTTGTGATAATCAGAATATTTACATATCTTGAACTCTTTTGCTAATTATTCAAAAATTTGTTTTTTATTCTAAACATTTTAATACTTTCCATTAACATACTTCCCCCCACACACACACATGTAGAAATACTATGAGAAGATTGGTATACAAGGGATTAACTTTAGGTCTGCTTCTTCCCCCCTTCTGTAGAGATTTGAAAGGAAAGGATAAACAAAAAAAGGCTAAATAGCTGTTAATGCAAAAGCATGATGAGAATATCTTTGGAGACACAGGAATTCAAATATAGGGTCACAGAAGTTAGCTGGAAGACATGCTGGAGAGGTTCTCTCTTTTTACAGTGCATTTTATTATTTTCTTGTTTTAAACATCATTCCTTGAGAAGCACACCTTGATGTTGACAATTTATTAAATATTGGTGCCAGTCATTCCACTGACTTATATATGTATAATTTGACTTGAGTAATTTTGAAGAATGACATTTTTCCACTAGGAATCCATTACAATTCAATGGTATTCTTCCTGCAGAAAAATAAAATTATTGCAGGGAATTCGACTTTAAAGGAATTAAGGATCTTCAGCTTCCTGCGGCTGTGCCTCCAATAATGTAATATCACATTACTATATAACCAAAAAGAAAGGATGCTGTGTTTTTTCTTTTATTGCAGTACTTGCAAATGTAAATAGCCCTGCAGTTACATTCAGTGTTTATGAATGAAAAGAGAAGGGGTACATTGAAGCAGATGGTTATTCTTTTCCATTGAAAATTTTAATGAGACAACATACATCATGCATATGAATAGGTCTGTAACATTCTCTCTCATCAGTTATAAAAGACCCAACATTTTTCACTTTTGAATAGACATTTGCAAACAATCAATTACTAAAATGTATTGTTAATTTTCCCCCAGGATACTACCATTTCTGATGTCTGACTTATTTGATACCTTGGCAGGTAAAGATTTTCTCAGGGAAAATTTTCTAAGGGTACTTCTTTACTGAACACTAAAGTATACTGTAGGTATTTCAGGTACTGTGACAACATGTTATTTAGCATGTAGAACACTGTGCTGATATGTCTACTCCACTTCTGACATGTAAGCTAGCTCTCATAAAGGTATGCCTACTGTACACTGCAGTACAGACTTTACATAAATGACATTTTCCTACGTTATTAACAGTAGTCAAAGATATGTGTGTTAGTGAACAATCTGAATCTAACAAAAGGTTATGTGCAGAATTAAATGCCAGAAATTATATTAAATATTTAGTTTTAAATGTCTGGTTTAAACTGACAAAAGTCATGACACTGAGTCAATGCATTCCAGTCTCTAGCTACATGAAAAAAGTTTAACTGCATTTAAAAAAGGATTAAGCATTTTTGTGGAGAACAAGAGCATCCATAGTTCCATTAGTTAGAAATATAATTTCCAGCCATGCCACAGCTTCAGGGCATAAACTGACCACTAAATGAGATAAGAGCAGATGAAACCTTCCCTCTTACCATGATATTCTATAATTTGTCACTATTTTTTTTGTGTCATCATCTTTTCAAACATCTGACACTAGTAATTACCAAAGATAGACATAGTACTCGTATGGTCAGGTAAGATAACATATATGTTCCTAAGAAAAGTAAAGGTCTTTCTTATTCAGAGCCCCTTGAAATAAAAAGCATGTTTCCACTGAATTTAAGGGAACTTTGGATTGTGGAAGACTTTGTGTAAATTCATTTTAATTCATGGTCTAGTGGTAACAATCCAGCTGCCACACAATGGCATTTAATTTATGATGAAGTCTTCTTGTTGAAATAACAATGTTCATTGAGCAAAAACTGATTTTTAAACCTTGGTATTTCAGTTTTTAACTTCCTGTAACTTTAGAGTAACCAATTATTTTTTCTATAATTTTTTTTAATTATTCTGTAACTTTGAGCTACTCCTATGGAAACCAACAAAACTCAGAAGAGAAAAAAATAGTTAAAAAATAGTAAAAGGCTGAGTAAAGAATAACATTTATACAAAAAGTTTGGAAATCCATTTGAATACTGCCTTCTTTAAAAGCTGGCACTAAACAGTTTCAGGGAGTGAAGTTTTTCTTTGCTTTATCAGCAATACAATACAATACAAATAGTTTAAGCAGCTTTTCCCAATAATATCAACTCTTATTATTATTATTATTATTAGTTGATTATATCTTACTTACTGGTAAGGGGAAAGTTTTAACTATACCTACTATAAGGGCTTGTTTCTGTGTGGTGCAGAGAATCACTGACCTCAATCAAGCTCCATGAAAACTGAAAGTACTGAGTTTGTCATTGGATTCCGAACCTTGAAGAATCAGACTTTAATAGAAAAGAAATTAAATGAACTATTTTGTTTCATCCCCTGAGAGGTTACTTTGAGCAATTACTGTCAGTTCAGTAACTTAAATAAGACACTCAGTGACCCACCCAGTACACAGATCCAAATTCCCATTGAAATCAATATACTCATCCTATTTTACTTTAAATTACATCTAAGAAAATGTCACAGCTATTTATAGGTATAAAGAGAGACTAGACTATATTCAAATCTTAAGTTACACTGAGTGACTCTGGATTTATTGATGCCATGATAATCAAGGTCAGATTGTGGACTTTTGTGCATATGTCTATTTGAACATAGAATATGTACAAACATGCAACTGTTGCCCCTTTTTTTGGCACAGTGACTCTGGCTACTTAACAAAGACTTTATTCATCATATTCTGCACATCATATGCATATTCTAAAGATTTATCTTGATCTCTCTTTTAAAGCAAGATGCATATAGCAAACAGTAAAGGAGGTAAGTTGTGTAAGACCTACAGGCCAGAAGCTTTATTCTTCTAGAAGTCAGCTATAATGCTGCCCTGGACAACTGAGAAGACATATTCACTACTGGCCACAAGTACATCTTCCAAAAAAGTGTGGCTTATGTTGCTCTATGCAAAATCCATCAGTTTTCCACAAGAGAGACATGGAACCAAAGATCATCTTTGCATCCCCCAGACATATTCCTCTATCTGAAACCTTAAACTTACTATATTATCGCCAGTGGCTCATCCATCTCCTATCAAAGCATTTACATCTATGTAAAGATAAGTTCTAAACATAGACCTTTCTTGTGCTTTGGCTTTACTGATAGTTTAACAAGAGAAAGTGATATCTTTACCCTAAACTTTCTTTCAAAGCTTGGCTACTCAACTGGTATACCCTACAAAATCTTTTTTCTAATTCTTTCTAGTTCACTGTGCTTGAGAAGAACCTTTTTACCCCTAGTTTAACTGAAGTTTCCTACAAGCATGACTCTATTCGATTTCTATCCATGGTTTTCTGTTCCTGATCGCTCATAAAATAAACCAGGCAGAAGTCTAAATTCTGCCATCTTGGCTAATGTAACAGGGTGCACTGGCGCTTCCCTGTTTATCCACAGAGGCCGACCCGGAGCTGCTGGGCAGTGTGGGGAGGATTGGATGGAAGCCTCTGCCATGTGTAGGGCGGGGACACATGGCAGGAAGCACAGGCTGAGCGCCCAGAGTCCCTGGAGAATACTGAGGAGAGTAGAAGCAGGGCAGATGCCTGGAGTAGCACGTCAGGACATGTGATAAGCCTGGAGCTATGGTACCTTCTTTTTATTTTTGTTTTCCCTGTTTTTTCCTGACATCTATTGCAGAGATTGTTAAGCATTTTAATTCCAGGGCTGGCTGCATACATATCTATACCAAGGAATGTACTTTAGTTTCTCCCCCACTCCCCCAAGTTCATGAATTAATTGGATTTCAGTTATTTGATTTATATTGGACTTTGTTCCTCCCAGTGGATATTCACAGTTTAACAGAAGGCAGATAACAATTGATTCCCTTTGGGTTGAGATACTGAACCCATAAAGCCCTAGTTCTCTAACTGGGGGTAATAAAGAATTAAGTGATGGCCTTTGAGTGGTGATAGCCAGCCCATGCTTAATTCATATGGATCAGTGGCCTTGAATCCTGATACGGCAGGGTGAGGTAGCAGATTCTCTGCGGTGCAGTCAGCTGATGGGAGTGTGGGGCTGGGGAGACGGTCTGTGCTGGCTAATCAGGGGTGGCCATCTGCTCAGCTGGACTCTATGTTCTTCAGCAGCCTCCTAGAAGGCATGTGGAAACACCCCCAGCTGGCTTCACTAGCCTAGGCCATGCAGGCAGGCTCAGAGCCACATGCCCCTCCCCAACATCAAACATCTGTTCTGTTCCCTTTCAAACTTCCTTCTCTTTGCATAAAGCATGATATTTAGAGCACTTGTGCCTCGGGCTTTTTGAATATCTGTATTTAGCCCTTGTACAATTATAGCCAAATTATTTTGCCTCTACAGGTCATCAGTTGTATAGCTCTGGATTAAATCAATTATTCATTTACCAATATTAAAATACTGAGTTTTTTAAATGATTATTCATTGAACTTTGTCAATCAAGAAGTGATTTTTCTTGAATCTCGAATGAGGTTTTAGATAATTGATGACTTTGTGTTGCAAGCAATTGATTTTTTGAAAACTGTTTCAAACATCAGCTAGGGCTAGTTTATATCCGCAAATGAGGGTAGAATTATACATTTTGATCAGTTAGGAAACACTGGATCACATTTGATTATGTATGACTAGCAAATAGGTGTTAATTCTAGTTTTTCAT